AAAAGAGAAACAAAGATTTAATTTTTTTTGTAAATAGTTCTTTCGTTGGTTGCTTCAGGTCAGATGCCAGCTGATTAAAGAAAAAAAATATTAAAGAAGAAAGCACATAGGTGGCATTACACAAGAAAAAATAAATGAGAATACATTAATTAGAAGTAGGTTATTACTAGTTGTTTCACCTGTCTTTTATTATGGGTTAAATAATTTCTATCTGAAATTATATATTCAGGGACATGTTTTTGTACATAAAACAATTAAATTAATTTTAAAAATTTATGCATTCATCTAATTAAATAAATTAATAACTATTTATTCAACCAAACAAACTATCAAGCTTGATCTGTATCCAACTATAGCAAACTAGATTTTTATGACTTTAAAATTAGGCTAATTTACATCTTTATCCAGTTTAAGTAAACTAGACTTTTATGATCTAAACAATCAGGCTACTTTGTTTCTAAAAAATTAGGCTAATTTGTTTCAGGTTAAGAAAACCTATTCTTAACTATATTTGAACTTGGAAAAACCAAAAAAGCACACTAAAATTTTTGTAAAACATATTTATAACTTCTAATAACCCAAAAATTATCTCTAAAATCAACAATGAACTCAAAACCATAATTGTTTTTAGTTCAAATCCATTATTCTAAGCAAGTTTAAGGTAATAACAATATATTGTCTAAACTTTAATAGTAAAAAATAAACCATTAAAACAAAAACAAAAACCATCTATTTTTATGGTTGAAATTGGTCTCAATTAGATTTTTTTTTCTAGAACTAAAATTCAGTCATGTTTTTTCCCCTCTCAAATTAGTAATCATAAAATAAAAAAAATAAAGTTTGGAATCAAAATTGAATTTCATAAATTCTTCAGGAACAACAACTTATAATCTAAAAAGTTAAAAAATTAAAATATGCATTTAGCTTTAGTTTTAGAAAAAGCATTTATTTATCGTATTTTTTATTCTCTAACTTTAATATTTCTCTTCTTTAATAAAAGTATTTTAATTGGTCATCAATTTAGGCTTATGAGATTGCAGTTAAAAAAAAGAAAGTTTATAAAATCACAATACACAGTGATTTATTTTTTCGCTGAACAATCCACACCTAGAAAACCAAGCTGTTTGTTGATGATAATATTAATTCCATATTCTAGAAGCAACACGAGAGCCCGCACAGCATGCTCACCGGTCTCCTCCGCCATATCTACATAACAATTGGCAGATAGCCACCGCCCTTTAATCTTTTGAAGGGCCGTTCATTTATCATCGTCGCTTTACCACTTTTGTCTCTTTCTCCTTTTCAAATCGATGTAAATGCTTAGGAGGATGTTTTTTTTTATAAAAAAATGTTAGTAAGATTGTTTTAAGGTATTAATATTAAAATAATTTTTTAAAAATTATTTTAATATATTTTCAAAATAAAAAACATTTAAATCTCCATTACTATTATATTTTCAGACACCCTTTTAATATTTATGATAGATAAAACACTTGGGAGCACATGCCATGTGCAGTGGGTGGGCGTGCATGGAGCATAATTGAACATCACCAAACTGATGTACCTTAGGATAGATACAATACAACCTTTAATCTACATAACAATTGGCACGTAGCCACCGCCCTTTAATCTTTTGAAGTGCCATTCATTTATCATCGTCGCTTTACCTCTTCTTTCTCTTTCTCCTTTCCACATTGATATAAATGCTCATAGGATGTCTTCTATCCCTTTTTTTAAAAAAATGCTAGTAAGATAAAAAAAAATAACATTTCATTGGAATTCAAAGCCCAATGATGACCGTAACGGCGAAGGACAATGAATTAGAGATGTTTTAAACGTGTTACAGTATTTTTTAAAAAAAATAAAAAACATTCTTTATTTTTTAAAATTAATTTTTTTATATTTTCATATCATTTTAGTTTTGATGTACTAATATTATAATAATTTTTTCAAAATAAAAAATATTTTTTTGATATATTTTATAAAAAACATTTTAAATTATAAAAACTACTATATTTCTAAACATCTTATTAATATTTTATAATACACTTGGGACATATGCCATGTGCAGGCATGGTATTTAAAAAAAAAAAAAATTTTCAGGTCAATCGCATCTTTCTATGAAAATCGATTTCACGGAGTCAATACGATTCAAACCATGTCGATCAGGCTAAAAAAATAAGTTTCGTGTCGTTTCAGGTCAAAATCATCATTTTCGATCAAAACGAGTTCATCGAGTCAATACGGGTCCAACCATGTTAACCAGGGTAAAAAATGAGTTTCGGGTCAAAATTGAGTCCACTAGGTCAATATAGGTCTCACCATGTTGACCGAGATAAAAAATAAGTTTCAAGTCATTTCGGGTCAAAACCATTATTTTCAATCAAAACAGAGTCCACAAGGTCAATATGGATCCCACCATATTAACCGGGATAAAAAATAATTTTCAGGCTATTTTTGGTCAGAAACCCTGTCCATCGAGTTCATACCCATATAAAAGTTTTTTTAGTGTTCCAACATAATTTTTGGTAATTAAAATTGATTTTTAGCAGTTGAAACAAGCTTTTTCTAATACTAATTTAAGTTTTTAGTTTTACCACTATAAATATTTATTATTATATATAATAAAATAAAATCAATAATACAAAATTTTTGTCATAACAGATGGAGTAATTTTACTGATGGTAGGCAAGACAGCTGTAACATTGAAATTTTTACTTAAAGCAGATTGTGCCACTATCATTGAGATTTTATGTCACCTCCTAATTGGTTATAAGTAGTCAGTGAAAATCAGCCAAGTCAATCACAACCGAAGGATCAATTCATCAATTATACCACAGTTCACAATCTTCAGCTGCACCGGTGTACTATGCTCGCCTTCACATCGTAGCAACATCTCAAACGTTCTCTCTCCTCTCACCACCGATCCTCTCTCTCTCATCCGATCTCCCATTTCCGGTCATTTAAAGCCTTCAAACCACCACATAAAGGTTAATCGCCTACTCTGAAGAAAAACTCAGGCAATTTTCATCTCTCTCTCAGCCTCATCTGGTCGGAAAAAGGCCGTGATTTTCATCGGCCACCTAAAGTTTCAAATAGATGATTCTCCCTCATCAGCCATCAACGAAAGTCGAAACGATATTCATCAGAATCCTCTTCCTCAGATCTACCAGAATCAACCATTTTTTGTCTGGAAATCTAGCCGGGAAAATTCACCTCCTCCAACAGTAACTGTGCGCGAGTCACACACTCCACCAGGGGCATTTTCATATTTTTTCAAGAAATTCAAGGGTATTTTAGTTTTTTACCTATACAATGGCACCCATGGAATTTTTTGGGGTTTCTAATGGTATTTTTGATATTTTTATATATATAAATACTTGTAAATTTTTTCTTGCATGTGAAAAAAATAAAAAATACCAAAAATAAATATAAAAGGAATAACAACGCAGGTCCAACACCCATCTTATCATGTCATTGTTCATGGGTTCAAAGCTCAATTCTCAATTATGGTTATATCCATTTCTTAATGATATCAAAATAATTTTTGTTTTATAAATGAATAATGTTTGTCGACACGTCTCTTTTATTCATAGAAAAGGACCGATGCCAAAAATTTAAATACCAAAAATAGATTATGTTCATTATTTCTTTTGGTAACCCAAATGTAATTTTCATTTTTAGGGACAAACGTCAATATTTTAGATGAGTCTCCTATTTTTTAGGGATTGATGTTATTTTTTTGACGTGTCTCCTATGAATATTGTATGTCGACACGTCTTTTTTATTTACAGAAAAGGACCAATGCCAAAAATTTAAATACCAAATATGGACTATGTCCATTATTTCTTTTGGTAACCCAGACATAACTCTCCTTTTTAGGGTCAAATGTCAATAATTTAGATAAGTATTCTATTTTTAGGGAGTGATGTCATTTTTTACGTGTCTTCTATTTTTAGGGACCGACGTTAACCATCTTAAAAAAAAAACCAAATTGTAAATAAGTTCAAAATATAATAGCATTTAAATCAAATAAAAAACACACAAGTAAGGGTAACCTTTCTCTTGAAAGGATGTTTTAAAAGTGGTGTCTACCTTCCCTTAATCACAACTAACCCAATACCTGAATCTCTGGGACTAGTGTCAAATTTGGAATATTTAGTTTCATTAAATTACTAGATGGCAACTCCAATAAAATCTTCGTTTCTCCCAATCAAGAAAAATCTTTTTTTTTTGTTAAATAAATAAAAGAGTGGAGCCATCGGCCGATGTCGTGTAGTAACAATATATACAAGTTAAATTTATATTACTAATTTTTATGAACTAAATTTAATTATAACTAAGATTTATGCCAATAAATTAGCTTAAAATGTGCTATAAGTTTCAACAAATAATCTATACTTAATATATTAAATAAATCAATTAACTGAAATGAAAGAATTAATTGTAAAAACTATAAATAAATAAACGACAAGACATATAGCAACAAATATTTAAGTTTATTATTATAAGATATACATGCTAAGTTGAGTTTTCTATTCAGTAATATTTATTTTTTAGATTTCTTAACTCATTATTATCTATAATATCCATATAATAAGACCTTAACTGGTCAAGTTAAATAATACAAATAAGTAGATTTTTTTAAATATCCTTGTTCTATATTTTTTTTTCATTGTATAGATAACCATATTATACATGGAATGATTTTTTATTTTCAATGGTTTTAAGAAACAATCCTTTATATTAACCTAATACATTAAGTAAAATATTTTTTTTTTTAGTATACGAGTTTAACCTTGGAATTGATTAACAAAATAGAAGGTGAGATGTGCACATCAAAACCATCTGTTGCTGATGAAAGCTTGTTGGGTCAGCAGCGACGGTATTTACGATGGTTGCATGAAGTTTCCACTCCCAAGTCCACATTTCCTCATCTTATTGGTCTGAAAATGCAAGGACAATTAAATTAAGGCCTCACATGTATCAGATGCATGTATTTATCTTAATTACCCCACCCCACCCCCCCAACACCTCTCTATATATACTCTCGATAATATCCATCGTCTCATCGGATCAAAGCATACACAAAACCATGGCAGAAACGGTATGATATATATTGTATGTGTTAATTTATCTTTTAATGCATCCTCTTAATTTGGCTTTTCTTCTTTTTACGTGGAGGTCCTATATATGTACAAGTTCTTGATAATCTCTACAGCGGATTCTTCCATGAACATGTTTTGAGTTCTTCCAATCTTTCTGTCTATAAATTTATCGTGAGATTTTCTTTGTTTTCTATTGGGATTAATGATCATGGTGAGGTCCTCTACAAAATGCATGCACTAACTACGTACTACTGTTACAGAAAGTCACAACGATGGTGATTAAGGTGGTTGACCTTGGATGCGAAAAATGCCACAAGAAAATCAAGAGAGTACTGTGTGATATCCCTCGTGAGTCTTTCTTTTTTTCTCTTTAGGAACAGTGCTAGGTTTGAGTTGTTTTTATGACCAAAGGAAGTGACTAAGTTTTGTGGATTTGATGATGTTAATTAATGAACAAGAGAAATCCAGAACCAGACATATGACAAGAAGGAAAACACGGTGACAATCACTGTGGTGTGTTGCTGTCCTGAAAAGATCAAGAAAAAAATATACAGCAAAGGAGGTCCAACTGTCAAGTGCGTTGAGATCAAGCCGCCACCAGCGAAGAATTCTAAAACAGATCCAGAACCAAAAAAAAAACCAGAACCAAAACAAAAACCAGAACCAAAACCAAAACCATGCACATGTTGTGAAAAGTCTTGTAGTTGCCGAAGTAGGTCAGGGTGTGATGGATGTGGAGATGGTTGTTGTAGTTGCCGAAGTAGGGCAGGGTGTGATGGATGTGGAGATGGTTGTTGTAGTTGCCGAAGTAGGGCAGGGTGTGATGGATGTGGAGATGGTTGTTGTAGTTGCCGAAGTAGGTCAGGGTGTGATGGATGTGGAGATGGTTGTTGTAGTTGCCGAAGTAGGTCACGGTGTGATGTATGTGGAGATGGTTGTTGTAGTTGCCGAAGTAGGGGTTACTATGTGTGCAGAAGTACATATGTTTGTGAAGAGTACTATACCTCGGCGCCATGCACAATCATGTAAAGGGAAATCAAGTTCAGAAGACCGATGGTTTGAGTCAACGTCTGGAATCAACCGTTGGATTCAAATCCAGTGGTCATGATGGACCTTCGTGTTGTTGTGTTCATAATATCATCCCTTTTGTGCTGCTGCTGTTGTTTTGACCTCTTTCATCCAGATGATGCACGACTTTGTGCCTAGCTAGTATTTTCGAGTCAGCTAGTATTCTGAAGTCAATGGTCACAGTTTTTTCCATTGTTGATGGCTCAGTTTTTTCCATTGTTGATGGCTTGTTACATGTATGGTCAGCAAATATGGCTTGACCACCTAGTCTTTGTTTTTTATGCTCTCTTATCTTTGTATGGTCCCTTTGGATGTTTTCTTCCAAAGTGCTATTATTTGTTTCCAAAAACCCCTCTCCGTCAATTCTCTAGTCATTTTTGGCCGGATGAAATGCCCAGAAACATCATTCGACCGTGCTTTGTCAATTATAATATTTGTTTTCTTGAGATAATATTTTTTAAAAATTTTTTATTTTTAATATTAATACATTAAAATTAGATGGCAGTACATAAAAAAATCTTTTAATCTGGATATCAATACTGAAAATTATTATTTAAAATGCATAGCGCGGTGCGACAATATATTTTT